GCGGGTCAGCAGACCCGTGGCCGTCGCCACCAGGGCCGCCACCAGCACCCAGAAGCCCGAGATCAGCGAGAACATGAAGCGGTGCGTCATCCTCACCTGCGGGTGCGGCAAAACACGACACCATACACGATGGACAACATTGTGGTTAGTATCGCATTTGTGGAATACGAATGAAGCGCCGAGATTCGCATCTCGGGCACTGAAAGTGACATCACGCGCCATGGAGGATAAGGACGGGGCAAATGGTGAGGTGTCCAGGTCAGTTCCGGGGTCAGAGGCTTGCAATCGGCCCTGGGTAACGGGAAAATACCAAGCGCGGGTTTCTGCTCCTCACCTGGTAGTGCAGCGGGAAAATGATGGCCAGGAGCCGATCGTAGGCCAGAGCCACCAAGTTGAACGACTGCATGGACAAGCAGGTGTAGCAGAAGAACAGGAAAGTCAGGCAGCTGCGGAAGGGAACGCGGCGGTGGCCCAACAGGAACACGTCCAGGAGCTTGGGGACCAGCGCCGAGCTCCCGAACAGGTCCACGAAGGCCAGGTTGAAGACCGCCACGTACTTGGGGGTCCGCAGCCGGCGGTCCAGGCAGATGACGGCCATCACCGAGCCGTTGGCAAGCACCGACAGCACGTAGACCACGAACAGGAAGACGTAGTACAGCTTGATATGCGGGATCCCCGACAGGCCGCTAATGATGAAGTACTCGGGGTGCACCATGGACACGTTCTCATCCTTGGCAGGATTGAACAGGTTCATGGTCCCGGTTGCCGAGATCCACTGGAGCTCGACTCTCGAGCGCGGCCAATAAGAAAGGACGCCGAAGCCCCAATCACCGCAACGGACACTCCCACTTGGCAAAAAAACAACTCGACTTCAAAACAACAAGTTTTTCATCCCGTGGGGAGCTCGGTTGGCCGTAACCTTGGCAAACATTTGACAACAAACATCTTCAAGTGTCTGGAGTGAATAAAACAACCCCCCCAACCCCCCGCAAAAAAACAAGTGACACAGTAATTAGCCCACAAGTTTGATACAGCATGTCCCGCAACTCACCAGAACACCAACTCCAAAGTGAACCACCAAATTTTAGCCAGCGGCTGGATGGACAGAGACACAGACAGCTTAGACGGACGGGCAGGCAGGCAACCCCATGTAGCTTTGATGTCTTTACAACATGATAAATGTAAAATGGAAACAGTTTGCGTCGCAGGATTGACCCAGGCGGTACACCGTAACTGATGTCACATGGTTCTGATTTTGTATGAATTGGTTTCTGCAAACTCTCTTTTGCACATAGTTGTGCGATTCCTCCTATCCCATATGGAGGTCGTTTTTGAAGCAGTCTTGTGTGATCCATATTGTTGAAAGCTTTTTTTTTTTTCCCCACATGGGCTCGAACAAATTCTTGACATTTGTTTGAATTCAAGCAGCAAACACGCAAACAACTTGACATTGATCGACTTGGCCTTTCTAGCACAACGGAATGTTTCTTGAACCGGTAATTCAATTTGTCTAAAAAGCCACCGGGGACAGGCGCCTCGCTGGAGGTGCCCCGGGGCTAATTATTAGGCCTTAATACGAATCATTAGCATTCCCGCGGAGAGAAGATGAAGGAGAAGCAGCAGAAGAGACATCTGTCAATCCATAGTAAAAAAGGAATCGCGTTCAGGTGGAGGGATGGCGCGACTGATAAAGCGTCCATCTGCTGACTTTTCTTTTGGTTTTCCACGTCAGATTGCCGTCGTTTGAAATATGAACATGTCCGAAGCAAACCAAGTGCACGCAGGTAGGCCGGAGCCCGGACTGGAACCCCGCGCCTCAGCCACAGTGCGGCGGACGTGCGAATTCGTCACCCGCACCGCGCTGCCGCTTGTCAATTCAAAACCACAAAGATTTGACAAATATTCCCCGACATCAAGTGGATCTTCCCAAAAGTGAAACACTCAAATCATACGGTTGTTGATATTACAGGAATAGAAAAAGTTTTTGGGAACTTTCTGGGATTATTTCAAACAAACAACAATAAGCAGCGGTGGCTATTCGACCCCCCCGCCCCCGCCTCGCCTCGATATGAGATCAACAAGAGAAAACCTTTTGAGGAAGAAGCCAAACAAACGCGTCAGAGCGTCACTCTGGGGACCGACTTGTTTTTCCACCTGCGCTCCCTGCGGCTTTCGCCAGCCCAACTAATTGAGCCTCTGCTGACGCACGCTCACAATTGGCACACTGTTGTTTGAAACTTTGGCAAACTTTCAACTTCGAGTTTCTTTTTTTTTTCATCCCAACTGATATGGGCCATTTGTTCATCCAGTTTGGTTAACAACGTTGAAGACACCCACATTTTGCCCTTTGATGTTGTTTTTTTGAGGCGGCTTTTGTTTTTCCGGGAGACGGCGACGCTTCAGGTTTGTTTGCCAAAAGCGATAAGAGGATTTTCAAATTTGGGGCCGCGATGGTCAAGACCATCTCGAGATCAGTGCGCCGAGTTTTGTGAATACAAATGCAACGCAATGACTTGTTCCCGCACACACCAACAAGTGCGGTTAGCGCACCTCGACATCCGGCGTGGGAGCAGCAATTCACCGACACTGGAGTCACATGACACGTCAAGAAGCTTTATTTTTTGTTTTACGGGTGTGTAGCTATTCACAACTGAAAATGTTGATTTCCTGTACACATTTGATTGCAATGTCGATTAGCAGCAACCCCAAAAAAATTTAAAAAATAAAACGCATGTCAAAATGCACTCGTCGATCAATCAATCAATCAATGGCAGCGAGGCCGGAAGCAAATCGGACTCACTTCCATCCAAATGGCCTCCGTCCATCCACTTTGACTCTTGACTGACACGCGGGCGTGTTTGTTGATGAATGAGCACGGCTCGCACGTGCTCCTGTTGTGCAAAAGGGACGTCCTTACCGATTCACGATGGTTCCAGCGCACATCGTTTTCACGTCATCCTGTTCGCTTTTGCGGAGCATCTCGTCCGCTTCTTCCTCTTCTTCTTCTTCTTGGCCCACGAGATGCCCACACACATGCGCGCACACGTGTGTGTGGGCCTATCAGTACATTTGTTTGAATTCCAAAAGAAAAAGAAGGCATGGCATCGCCATGGCAACCGGCCCTCAGCCAGTGAGTCACCGTGCGTGCGCGAAGGCTTTTACAGTGTTGAGAAAGCACCAAAGCAAAGAAGGTTGGGGGGGGGGGGGGGGGGTGTTCAAGGGTTCCGCTTACAGGATGACACAGCAGTTGCGCTCGCCGCTCTTCTCCCGGTTCCTCTGACCTGAGCACACAAAACACTCCGTCACACGCATATAATCATCATCATCCGTACGGTGTTGCGGTTTACCTTGGGAGTTGGGCTCGGGCAGCGTCTCCCTGGCCACTAAGTGCATGACGGTGGTCTTGCCCGCAGGAAGCTTCAAGCCTGCCGCGCAAAAAACGCACAAGCGTGATGACCTTTGTGTGGAAAAATTGAAAGCAAAGGAGGTTCACTCTTCCCGCAACGGATTCCGATTCAAGTTGTCCACTCGGTTGGGTCCCCGCCACGTTCTTGGCTATGTTATTGCCAAGAACGTGGCCCGCTGTCCGATTTTGGGAGACGGCCAAGCGGGACGTCCAGTTGGCCGCCTTGGAAATTGCTTCAAATTTGGGTGAGCTTGGTGGCTGTTTGTGCAAGAGCAAGTCTTTACCTTTTATGTCCAGTTGATTGACAGAGTCCAATTATTATTGTTTTTTTTTTTTTTTTGGGGGGTTGAGGGGGTCAGAATTTGCCAGACTTTGGTGATGATGAGGCACTCACTGAAAAAAAGGCAAACTGTCTGCGGCGAGAAAACTCTTAGTTGACCGTTGCACAAATAAACACTTTGCGGGTGCAGATGCGGACAAATGTGAGAAAGGAAGCGTCTGCCCCCGAAACCCAAAGTCCACCCCCAACACTGCCCCCCCCCCCCTTCATTTCCTGTCTGGCTCAAAGGACACTTGTCCTGAACACTGAGCTTCCTCTGTTCTGCTGCTCGGGGAAAATCAAATCCATTAATTCATTCATTAAAAACACACACACACACACACACACACACACACACACGCACACACACGCACACACACGCACACACACACACGTGGGTGTGTGTGAGAGCAAGAGTCTGCATTTGTTAGTGTAAGAATATGTGAGAGAACGTGTGCGCGCGTGCATTGGTGAGAGTTGAAGAACGTGGTCGGGAATGTGAGGGTGCGTGACACTGCGTGCATGCGTCAGAGGGAGGAAGCGCGAGTGGAAGAGTGTGAGAGACAGCGAGAATGAGTGTGTGAGAAAGCAAAAGCACGGGAACGTGTGAGAGGACGCGTGTGCGCGCATGTACCTCCGAGCGTGACGTTGCCGTGCAGGAAGCGTCCCTGGTAGATGAGGCGCAGGATGTCGGGACTGCTGACTTGCTCTTGCTGCCAGTCTGCAAACATCAAACACGCCAGTTTCTTTCTTTCTTGCATTTCTTGGCGCCGCTTGGCAAAAGGCGCTCGCAAAGGTCCTCGCTTGCCGTCGAGACAACAGAAGGGAAAAGAGAACCGAGGAGGCTCACCCATCGGCCAGTTGTCGTACACGTGTTTGGCGATGTCGGCCGCCGAGTCGTCGGGGGGGAACAGGAATTCTTTGGTCTTGCCGCTGACCAGGATCAGCCGCAGGTTAATCTGGAAGACGCGCAGACACGCTCTCATCAGGAACAACTCCCAGGAAGTCCTTTTTTTAGATGGCGGGAAGGACACGTACGATGAACTGGACGGAGCTGCGCGCACTTTTTTTTGGGGGGGGGGGGAAGTCTACGGCTGCCGATGCCACACGAGGACACGAGACTGGACTTTGGCCCAGCCGGTTCTTTATTGCGTGCATGCGCGCGCCGCCTAGCAAGGTGACTGCCACTCTATGAGCTCCGCGGCTCGTATCGATGTCGGCCGCCGGTAAATGCAGACCTGAGCCACGGATCAATTTCCAGGGCGCTTCCGGTACTCCGCCGGAAGCTGGGCAACCGCAAAATAGGAGACGGACGGGCCGGCGGGATCGTTCGTGACCGCTTCCTGTGGAGCCAGAGGCTCATGACTTCCCGTTCCGGTGGGCCGGAGACGGACAAAAAGGCATTTGCCGGACGGATCGTCGTGTGTGTGTGGACTTTGCATGGCCCTGCTTTGAAAACGCCACAATGCCCCCCAAAAGCCAAATGTTCTTTGGGGCTGAGTGAGGCGCTCACTTTTGTGTTTGTCCACTCCCTGAACGGCGCAGCCTGACTGACAAATTGCTGGATGCGACGCTCAAAGGCACAGCCGAAGCGTCAGCGGACGCGTCAAGAGGAAGCGGCGGCGGTGTTCGGCGCCGACGGTGGGGTTGCGCAATCAGTCGACGACTGCGTGAATTGGCACATGCGCGGGCGTGAGAGCGCGGCGAGCCTCGGGCGGGGGTAGCGGGATGTCGTCAGCGTGGCTGCGAAAACACGCTTGCGGACGGCGTCTTTGAAGTCAGGCGAAAAGTCCGAGACAAACGAGTCCCTTCATCGCAGTCGACGCTTGAAAGAGTGTCAAAGACACTCGAGTCCTTTCACAACACGGGCGCAACCCCCTTTTGAGCCATGAGGTTGAACATCAAAGACGGGCCTGGGGAAACCGAGGTCAAATCATCAAAGACGCCAGGTGTGATGACGTCAAAAACAACTCGGACGACCTCGAGTTCAACCGTCAAAGATGACTCTCCCCGTAACATGCCTTGAGAGGAAAAAAAAGTCAAAAGATCAAAAACAAGCTGTCTCCACACCAAAGAGGAGCACAATGACTTCCGCAACTCCAATATATCGATCCGTATCTTTTTTTTTTTTAAGCTGGGCGGCCAATCAGCAGCCCACCACTGTGGACTGGCGGCACTGAGCTGCTTCCAAAAAGGAAGCCGAAAAGATGATCTTTGTGTTGAATCAAAAGAACACATCTGCTTTTACTTTGGAAAACGATTCACATTTTTTTTTGCCGATTTCCCCCGCGTCCCGAATAGAGTCGGAGGGGGTGGGGGGGGGGCAAACCTAATATTTGAAAAGCATATTTATGTTCTGAGAGAAAAACGATCACCTAAGACAAAGTTTCAAAAAACCGTTTTGAGGAAATAGTCTTTATCGTACGAGAAGGAAGTTTGATTTTTTTTTTTTTTGGGGGGGGGAACACGCATGTATTTTTTAGTTAATATCTCTATGACAAAAATACAAATGTATCGGCCAAGTCAAAATTCGTTTTTTTTTTTCAAGAACATAAAGTTCTCTCTTTTTGGGCTAAAAAATATGTCGATTTTACAAACATTTGACGTACAATCGGAGACTCACGACGCGTTTGAAAATCTCTGGTTCGGAGGATGGTTTTTTTTTTTTTTGCTTGGGGGCGGACGGGGTTAAAGCTCACCATGTCTTCTGGCGTGCTCGATGTCATCTTGCAGGTCGTTCAGCCAACTTCAGGTATCCGCCGTTGCCCGACAATGTCAGTCAGGGAATTGATCAATTTATTTATTTTGATCAGAGTCCCGGAAGCCAATTCTGAGGCAGGACGCGCACACCGAGTCGCACTGGGTCCGTCCAGATCAGTCCCGGTTGATCCGGGTTCGTCCTCTACTGCGCCGACATGTCCATTAACTGGCTCGAGTGGCAAGCTCCGACATGTCCACCGCCGGGTGCGCTCGAGGGGAGGCAACCTTCTTCGGAGGAAGACGCCGCCACCGCCGCCGTCCGGGCGGTCAACTCCCGAAACTCAAACACGGTTCGGCCGCAACAAGAAGGAAGACATCGACGAAGGACGGAAGGAGGAGAAAGAAAACTACGCCATGCGGAACGGCAACTAACGCAAGCACATTTTTTTTTCAGTCGCTCGTTCCCCGAAGAAAAAGTCGAACGACGCGTGAGGATTTGAGGAAAAGGTGACAAAAGAACGTGAAAAAGTGAACAAAAAAATGTTCGGCGTTTTACCGACTCGCTCGCTGGCGTCGTCACAGACTGAGCGGCGACGTCACCGCCCGTCTGGACTGACCCACATTTGATCGGCGAGTTACACTGTTGGACTGTTTATTATAACAGTCCAAGTTTCATCGTTGGTTTTAAAATGTGAGTTTGGTTTCCATGCGGTGTCCCTAATTTTAGTAGTGGCTATAAAATGGCATCAAAAACTTCATTCTTGATTTGGTTCCAGCGCAGCACTCGACACCACAACCCCTGTGTCCAAAGACAGTGGTTCGATCCGGTGCGAGACGCAGACTGCTGGAATTGCAAATCAGGTGGGCTTTCAAAGGAGCGTTGAAGGTTTTTCAAAAGAAGCGCTCGCGATTTTTGACAGCTGTCCCAAAATTCAGTTGAAATGTTCAGCGATTCAAAGGTGGGTTTGGCTTCCATGAAGGCTCCTGAATTTTAACAGTAGACCCCCCATCTTATCACGCATCCTTTCTTTCTTCCATTATCTGAACCGCTTGATCCTCGCGAGGGTGGCAGCCGTGCTGGAGCCGATCCCAGATGACTTCGAGCAGGAGGCCTGAACTGGTTGCCAGACGGTCGCTGGGGACACGTAGACAGACAGCGACCATTTACCCTCACACTCACGCCTTGGGACAATTTAGGGTTCAATGAAGCTACCGTGCATATTTTTTTGGAAAGTGGGAGGAAACCGGACTACCCGGAGAAAACAGGCACGGGGAGAAGATGCAAATTCCACACATGGAGGGCCGGGGCCGGAATCGAACTCTGCAGTGTCAGGTGGACGACCTGCTCACCAATCGATCAGCGCTTCCGCCCGCACCTGATCGCCTCACCACAGTCGTCCTTTCTTCACAATTTAATTCCTTCTCTCAATCCCTTCTTTACCACTTCTGTACTTAATTCCTTCACTTGTTAGCCTTTTAATTCCCTTACTACAGTACGTCACTCGTTACTTTTGCACATCTTCCCCACTCGCGCTTCTAACCAGAGCAGCCATTCTTGCATGACAACAGCTACATCTAGTGGACAACCGTGATCATTACAGGACACGCTCCATTCTCGATACTGATGCACTTTCCCCACTAGAGGTCGCCACTAATAATTCTGACGACGTTGAACGCTGCGTCTGCCCGTTATCAAATTCGTCAATCAATTTACGGAACGAAAGAACGAGTACTCCAAAAAGCAGCTTTACATGTACTTTTGCTCAATCATTTATTGGACGGATGGGCAAAAATGGGTGGTTTATTTATCAAATTGTAATTAGGGAGAATTTTATGTACAGTACACAAAACTAAAGTTTATGTATACTGTATATATATACTCAACACACACCTTGTAAGTTATTAAGTCGCTTCTTTTTGTTTGCAAATCTATAAATATTGCTCACTAACTTTTTCCCTTTTCACCGTCAATCTGCCACATTGTTTTCACACACACACACACACACACACACACACACACACACACACGTTACTGAAACAAAAACACATATTAAAAAAATGTTTATTGACATCAGAAGCAATTTAAATTTTAACAATAAACGAGTCTTTCCCCCCCATTTCTTCTCGTGTTGCTATGAGGGTGGTACATAAAGATCAGTAAAAGTGATACGTCAAACGGCGATAAAATGAAAACACAGATAAAACAGGAACACTCAGATCTAAGATTTTGACTTTTTTCTTTTTTTTTTATGTGCTGTGCACGTCTAGCTAGGCTAAATACGGTAAGCCCCCAAGCCCCGTCCCGCCGGACCAGGATTCGAAGGAGGAGAAAGCAGACCAAGAAGAGGACATGGACACCAGACGTGTGTAGTGTTAACTATACAAAAAGGAGAAACAAACTGTACAGCATAAAAACAAGTGATATACACAGCCTTTTTCTGCATTTTTTTTTTAAGCCCGCCCCCAACCGCTTCGCCCCTCGGATGCAACGAATGGATTTGCTTTTGGAAGTGAAGTGTGTACATGGGGCGTCTTAAATGCTTTACAAACAACATCACCGCCAACGCCGCCCAGAACGACTACTCGTCGTCCTCGTCGTCATCCTCGTCCTCTTCCTCATCATCCTCGTCCTCTTCCTCATCGTCGTCCTCGTCGTCTTTCTCCACCTTGGCCGCTGCTTTGGCCGCCGGGGCGCCACCGCCACCCGCCTTGCCCTTGGCACGGTACGCCGCCACGTCCTAAAACACGCAACATGACTGGCTCCAGTAAGCATGAGGTCACCACTCGGGTTGAGCCGTTTGTTCCTATTTATTTGGCAGAAAATGCTAATCATCGATTTTGGGGAGATTAAAAAAAAGAAAAGCTACATTTTGTTCATAATTTTTTTTTAGGGAAGAAAAAAAATAAATTTCTAGAAAAACGTTTGGGAGAAAAATATTTCTTAACAACGGCTATAGATTTCTTTTTTTAAAGAAGAAAAAATAAGGCACATTCTTCTTGTTTGTCTTGGGGTTTCAGATTTTTTGTTGTTTTGTTGTGAGGAAGTCCCTAGGAGGTAAATAATAATAATCCCCCAAAATAAAATTCCACCCTTTCCATTTTTCCCTTCAGTTTCTGGGGGGGAGATTAGAAGATTTACAAGTCAAACTTTAATTTTAAATCTCCTAATTTTTATCTCCATTTTAAGATTTCTTTTGACAAATGTCTGTAGACTTTCAGTGATTTTTTAAAAATATATAGATTTTAGAGAAAAAGGCCTTATGACTCTATAAAGGTGTTACTTTTGTCTGTTAAAAATTAAAAGAGTACATTTCAGAGAAAGGTCTTTTTCCATTTTTCCTTTTCATAATTCCGCTCTATAAAGGTGTTACTTTTGTCTGTTAAAAATTAATTTTCCATTTTTCCTTTTCATAATTCCGCTTTTTTTCCATAAAGTTTGTTTTCCTCCAATCACGTTTTTCAGAGGAAAGGTTTCAAAGAAACTAAAACTGAGATTACGGAGCGGCACGTGTGAACGCGGCGGCCTTTTTTCACTCGTGGCTGTGCTGAGGATTCACCGTTCACATGTTTTCTTGACATTGAATTTTGAGAACTGGAAACTCGGGATGACGGACGGGCCCATTTCTTTTGGAGACACGGGTGCAGTCTCACCTTCTCGTACTTCTCCTTCAGCTTGGCCGCCTTCTTCTCAAAGGGCTGCTTGTTCTCGGCCGAGGTTCTGTTCCACATCTCGCCCAGCCTCTTGGCCACGTCGCCGATGGTCAGGCCCGGAGTCTCGCCCTTCACCTTGGGACGGTACTCGGAGCAGAAGATGAAGAAGGCGGACCTGCAACAAAAAGCGGTTGGCTCGCCCGTGTCCTCTCCAGGGTCTCCCGTCCCTCACTTACGGGGGCCTCTTGGGGGCGTTGGGGTCCTTGAACTTCTTCTTCTTTCCTCCGCGGGCCGGCACGTAGTTCATCATCTCCCGCTCGTAACGAGCCTTGTCCTGCTTGGCCAGGTCCTCAAACTTGCCCTTCTCCTTGGCCGACATCGTCTGCCATGTGGGGGCAGAGAGAAGAACCTTGGCAAAACCCGCTTGACCAACTGCCACTTTTATCCTCTGGGTCCCATTGACATTGAACATTTGAAATTCTCTGCGACTGCAGCACTCGGTCAAGTTGACCCAATCAAATTTAGCAAGTAGGTAAGTGTTGGCTGACTTTGTTGACTAAGAAGCCCCAACTACCTTGGTTTTATCCGTAAACACGTGGACGGGACATTGGAAAACATGCGCACAATCCAAAATCAACTCATAAGGTTGTTCAATGCGAAATTTCAATTAATTTACCGGTGGAGACATTCACCATCACTCGGGGTCAAACTGAAGAAGCCTTCATTTTATATCCTTCGGAGTCAATTTGACCCAAGGAATTTGAACCTCCACCTACTTTTTCTCAAGCAACTGTTTTGTTACTTTGTTAAAAAAAAAAAAAAAAAACAACGAAATGTGCTAAAAACATTTGTTGGGTACAGCCCTGGGTCAAAGTGACCAATTTGTTAAGTATGAAGCAGAACGCCAATCATTCATTCGGCCAGGGAGCTCTGCTTCAAATGGACCCGGTGCAGCACTCGCTCCTCTACCTTCCATCTCTCGGAGCACTTCTTGGAGAACTCGGCAAAGTTGACCGAGGCGTCGGGATGCTTCTTCTTGTGCTCCTCCCGGCACGTCTGCACGAAGTAGGCGTAGGAGGACATCTTGCCCCTGGGCTTTGCCGGATCTTTCCTCATCCTGGCGTGGGAAAACACCTGAAGCCAAACGCTAAATCTGCAATCCGAAATGGCAATTAGAATTTTGTGTGTGTGTGTGTGGGGGGGGGGGGCGAATATTGACGAACATTCACCTTTACAGTAATTGATCGTGGGGGTGAGGGGGGTGGGGTGTAGGTGGCGAGCTCCGATGCTAATGTAAATCTGCATTCATTATTGAAGGCTACGTGTTCATTACGGCGCGGGTCAAAGCCCCCCGCACATAAACACACTTTGTGATGCGAGCAACTTCTTTGCGTTGACGTGGAAGATTCGATCAAAAAAAAAAAAAAAAAAAAACCACGAACAAATGCGGCCGCGGTTGTTGCGCACATCACACACAAGAGGAGCACTAATCACACATTAAAGGGCTATATTTGTTGTCAAACACTTTATTAAAGCCTTGTCCCACCAACTCCTCTTCGTCGCATCGAAAGAAAATAAAACCCCGCCCCCCGCCTTCCAAAAATTGATTAAAATGTTTTTTTTTTTTTGTTTTTTTTTAATGCGTTGAAATGTCGCCGTAAAGAGCGGCGGAAAGTTGCGAGAAAGGAGGAGGAGCGGTCGCCGAGTTTGCTGGTCATGGCGCTCGTGCTGGTCGGAAAAGGAGGTCACACAACAACGACGACGGCGTTATTTCTTCTTCCATTTTCTGAGAATGGCCTCGCGATGAAAGAAAGTGCCCCTCAAATGTCTCCTTCCGGCCCACCGCGAGCTCCCGGGGTCCCGCCGAAAGCTCCGGCCGGCTGCCGGCCGTCCGCCCGGTCCTCTTCCATAGATCGCAGCCTCCCGCATTGGCTTGCTTGCGTTTGAACGGTTCCTAATGGCCGCTGTGCTCTCGTCTTCACGGAGGGAATATGGCTCCCTTCTCTTTGTGTCGGCGGCGGCTCGCTCGGCTCGCTTCGGAAGCACGTAGCACGGCCCCGCCGCGCCGCACCGAGCTCCGCGAGGCGCCGTCGGCACCGCGAGGGTCCGGTCGAGCGTTCGCCGCCGTCGGGCGCATCGCTCGCGGGCTGCGCGGGCGAGAAAAGCCGCTCGGAAAAGTTGCTCGTCGCCGTTGTGTGCGCCTTGTTTCCTATGCGAATACAGTCAGCCATTACAGTAGAGCGCGGCTTGATCCGAGCCTCGTCCTTTTTTTCTTTTTTTTTTTTTAAACACCATTTTGAAGGCCAGATGAGTCAACAAACACACACGGGGGTGTCGTTTTCAAGCCTTTCTTTCTTTTTCTCCACTTTTCCTGCATTTTCGTCATGTTTTTTTTTTCTGCCGTGACTTGCGGCACTGGGAAAACGCTAACGGCCAATCTGCTACCATTGTCGCCAGTGACGAGCCGTTCTTCCCGGATTTTTGGACGCGATAATCGCGACACAGCGGACTCCATTTTGGACACACGACACCAGAAAAATGGTCCAAATTTTTCGCCTTGCTCAGATCCGCGGTTTACCGTCGAGTTTGCCCGGCGCGAATATTCGCATTTGTTCACAATTACCCCCGCGTCGGGTCCACTCTTTAACCTTCGCAGTCTGTATTTCGCGTCTTGTTTTTTTATCTGCCATTTTGACACGACAAAATGCCAAAAGACTGTCAAAGGCGGTTGGGCGGCGAACTATTTTCTGTTGTTGCGCTCGTTGTGGTGTGAAAAGCCTCGAAATGCCGACGCGTACTTACGGAAGAACTGCAACTGGGCTCTCGGTGCTGGGCAATGGCTGTTGTGTGAGGCGATACGCAGTGTCTTCACTCCTCCGTTCTCTAACATTACTCTCGACGGAGCTCGCACTCCATTGGTCGGCTCGCGGCCTGGCGCTCCGCTGATTGGCCGCGGCCTTTTCATCCCGCGTGAGGCCCGCCCCGTCGTCCCCGAGACTCTCGCGAGCGTCTGTTTCGTCCACAAAAGAGCAGAAGTGGCTAAAGTACTCCCACCCTGTACTTGAGTAGCAGTACAGATACTTGCGGGGGAAAAAACTCCGGGAAAAACAGAAGTGCCCATACAACTCCCGCAGTTCAGTAAAAGTTAAAAAAAAGTGCACTGCTCGAGATGTACTTAAGTTCTCAAATTAAAAAAGAGCTTTTACTGTCGATTACTGTGCAGTGAACAGAAAGCAGGGGTCGGCAAACATTTGAGAAGGAGAGCCGCTTCTGGTTGGCGACTCCTGGTTCACAGTAATTGACAAATGACGACCATTGACATCATGAAATAATTTGACTACATACTCAAGCAGCACAAAAAAAACGTTATTAGAGCAAGTTTAATTTTGCCGTGCGGTCGATATGGTGGTTTGCGCATCTGCCTCCCAGTTCTGACGCTGGGGGTTCCAATCCGGCCTCTGACCTTCCCGGAGAAAAGCCACACAGGCATGGGGAAAACAAGTCAACTCCACACAGGGAGGCAAGAGCGCAGAATCGAACCCGTGACCCCTCTACTCTGAGTTACATTGACTTGAACAATAGTTGAACAGACTAATAGCCTTGACTTCTGATTTCATTCCTAGGAATCCATCAATTGGATGTGTCTAAGCAAAAAAAGTCAATAAGACGATTCAACACTTATTCTCTTGCATGTGTACAATTTTCAGCCTTCTGCAATAACAACTGAGTTTCTCTGAAGGCTTTCAATACATCTTAACCAGAGGTGCAAATAACGATTGCGGGGACTCCCTGTACATGCCATGCATGTGATTGGCTGGAGACCAGTCCAGGGCCTTGCCCACAATTCGCCCAAAATCAGCGACCCGAAGTGAGGAGAAGCAAATGGATGTAAGAAATTAGCTTCAGATAGCTAACTATCTAATCTAATGTGGTTCCGATTAGATAGCTAGATGAGATTAGTTGATAGATATAGATCAATACAACGCTAGATCGAACAATAGAATGATAGATCGATCCTTCAATAGATAGCTGCGTGATCATTTCTCCGCTTCCATTTGTAAAGAAACACAGCATCATTTGCTTTGAATGTCCTTCTTTGCTTCCTGCTTGTCCTTTTGCATCAGGAAGGTGCCACAAGATGGCGTCTGCTCTGTCTGCTTGCCGACGTTCGTGCATGCTACTTAACCAGAGGTGCAAATAACGATTGCGGGGACTCACTGTACATGCCATGTGATTGGCTGGAGACCAATCCAGGGCCTTGCCCACAATTCGCCCAAAATCAGCGACCCGAAGTGAGGAGAAGCAAATGGATGTAAGAAATTAGCTTCAGATAGCTAACTATCTAATCTAATGTGGTTCCGATTAGATAGCTAGATGAGATTAGTTGATAGATATAGATCAATACAACGCTAGATCGAACAATAGAATGATAGATCGATCCTTCAATAGATAGCTGCGTGATCATTTCTCCGCTTCCATTTGTAAAGAAACACAGCATCATTTGCTTTGAATGTCCTTCTTTGCTTCCTGCTTGTCCTTTTGCATCAGGAAGGTGCCACAAGATGGCGTCTGCTCTGTCTGCTTGCCGACGTTCGTGCATGCTAATGAGCGCTCGCCCAAATGGGAATCGCATGCAAATGTCTTCATTTGTCATCACGAGGAAAAGAGAGGACAGGAGCTTATCCTGGAGGAGCGATGGGGGCGTCTGATGCGGGGGTGGAGGACGGGCGGAGACTCATGTGAGGAGGAGGCGAGAGTGGTGCGAGAGACATTTGATGCGCGTGTTGTGTTGTGCGTGTGCGCTGTATGGGCTGGATTGAGTGGGAAATGTGCCCCCCCCCCCGCAGCCCCATAAAACACTTTAAATCCCTTGCGCTCCACGAATATGACTTCAAAGACAAACAGGAAGCCATACGGCCATACATTACAATACTATGTCAATGAAATCCACACGATCTTTGAAGTATCCGCCTTTTCCAAAGAATCTGTGAGTAAAACTTATTTCTAACAATTTCTTATTTCTTCGAAAAATCAGCGACCCGAAGTGAGGAGAAGCAAATGGATGTAAGAAATTAGCTTCAGATAGCTAACTATCTAATCTAATGTGGTTCCGATTAGATAGCTAGATGAGATTGATATAGATCAATACAACACTAGATCGAACAATAGAATGATAGATCGATCCTTCAATAGATAGCTGTGTGATCATTTCTCCGCTTCCATTTGTAATCTCATACGAAAGGAAAGAAACACAGCATTCTTTTGCTTTGAATGTCCTCCTTTGCTTCCTGCTTGTCCTTTTGCATCAGGAAGGTGCCACAAGATGGCGTCTGCTCTGTCTGCTTGCCGACGTTCGTGCATGCTAATGAGCGCTCGCCCAAATGGGAATCGCATGCAAATGTCTTCATTTGTCATCACGAGGAAAAGAGAGGACAGGAGCTTATCCTGGAGGAGCGATGGGGGCGTCTGATGCGGGGGTGGAGGACGGGCGGAGACTCATGTGAGGAGGAGGCGAGAGTGGTGCGAGAGACATTTGATGCGCGTGTTGTGTTGTGCGTGTGCGCTGTATGGGCTGGATTGAGTGGGAAATGTGCCCCCCCCCCCCCCCGCCCCCTTTAAATCCCTTGCGCTCCACGAATATGACTTCAAAGACAAACAGGAAGCCATACGGCCATACATTACAATACTATGTCAATGAAATCCACACGATCTTTGAAGTATCCGCCTTTTCCAAAGAATCTGTGAGTAAAACTTATTTCTAACAATTTCTTATTTCTTCGATTTCGCACTTGGTTAAAAAAAAAAAAACATCAATAGCACCTCTCCAAAGGTAACCAAGCAGTGACGGCTGGTCAATAGAGGGCGCTAGGGTGCCACCCCACCAATGGCGGTACAGTCGTCACTTTTTTTCGTTCAAGACAATAAATTAAATAAAAAATATATTCGTAGCAAAATATAATTCGTTCGATATGTGTGTAAAACCAATTTTGGATGAACGGGGTAAATAGTAGCCCAAAATAGTGAATGATGACCAAAGTTGTTCCGGTTTTGCTATTTCTAGGAGTGACGTCGACCAAGGTCACCACTGAGGAGCAGCAGCAAAACAAACAAACAAACAAACAAACAAACAAACAAAAAATAAATCACAATTCCCGACGGACCCATTGTGGAACAATCGTTGGTCGTGGTTTTCGGGGGGGGGGGAGACAAATAGTGCAACACACGCGGAAGGAAGCACGACGTTTTCAACACGACAAACGCTCTCAATTCTGATCGCGGCCCTCTACGCCGGAATGTTTTTTGTATTACTTTTAGGATGAATGTGGCGAATTTGAATTGGAGTGTGAGAACGGTACGTATCGTTTGCAGGCATTTGTCTGCACTTGGGCTCGATTGGTCCTGCCTCGTGCTTGCTCGCATGGTAGCATGCTAACCGGCGAATGCAGCACGCCGCTTTGGTTTGATTCTTTTGAGAAAAGTTGCAGTGTAACTTGGTTCGGAACGTCTAAGAACAAGTAAATGTCACATCTGCGTGCCCTTTTTGAAGAGGCCGTGAGACTTGTTCTGGTGAGCTTTGAAGAGTAAGCGATGCAAATTCGAATGGTGGTCGTCGAGTTAATCCGATTTAATATTCCGCAATGGTCATTCTGTCATTATTTCTACTTCATGTCCAATTCATGAAACAATCCAGACTTGGGTTGGACATTTTTCCCCCCATCTTATCAGTGAACCGCTTTATCCTGTCAAGGGTCGCGGGCGTGCTAGAGCCTATCCCAGCCGTCTTCGGGGCAGTAGGCGGGGGACACCCTGAACTGGTTGCCAGCCAATCGCGGGGGGCACATAGACAAACAATGACCATTCGCACTCACGTTCACACCTAAAGACAATTTAGAGTGCTCACGTCAACCTGGCCTGCGTGTCTCCGGAACGTGGGAGGTAACCGGACATGCAAAATCCACACGGGAAGAATAAAATTCTAATCTTACAAAAGAAGTCATTTTTCAAGGTAAGGCAAATGGGGGAGGAATTGAAATGAACTCAGTCAACAGTTGAAACACGACGAACGCCAGACCAACATAGGTTGAATAAAACGCTGAGGATTTTTGGAGTACGAACCTCGATCTTCATTTGGATGATGTGTCTCCCTCCTTTTAGCTTCCTGGGAGGTGAGCCAGGTTGTCATGGTGATACTGCCGGAATGGCAGCGGGCGGCTGCGGCGGACCTCGGCAGGAGCGGCGCTGAAGTGATGCCCGGTGAAGACGCCGGTTCGGGGGCTCGGGCCTCCACACCGGTGGGGTATTTGGGAAAAGTCAGTCTGAGCCCTCGGTTGCTCTGCTCTCAACTTGTTTGTCACCTGCGCAAAGCTGAATTGTGTTTGACCACCACTGTGACTTAACAGTGCCACTCCAAATTATACCACAAAAACAAAAAGGAAATCTTTGGTAAAAGGCGAAAGCTTTCATTTTCGTGGGATTTGTTTGTTTTTCAAAAGAAGTCAAGGTGTCGGAAAGTTGTTGTCATACTGCTCCGAGCATAATAATAAAGTGGATCATCTTTTGAGGGCGAAAGGGTGTGTGAAAGTATTGTTAAAATAAAACATCATCTTTTGAGGGCGAAAGGGTGTGTGAAAGTATTGTTAAAATAAAACAAAACTAATTTTGAGATATATATATGAAGGCAAAGTGTAAGAAATAAATTAGAATTTTTGGGAGTAGGGACTAACCTTTGGGGAAAACCCCCCCAACATTTTGAGGAAAAACATTCCATGTTTCGCAAATAGTATTTTTATTCTCTAAAGAAAATAAAACTTGAGCATTTCCCCTGAAAGCTTCATCATACAATTCACTTTTTAAGGCGATTAAACTATTCTGAAAATGTAGGACTTTTTTTTTTTCTTGGAAAATTCAGAAACTTTGAAATAAAATGCAAGTGCGTGATGACAAAAGGAATACATATAAAAAAAAAATGCCACTCGCAGTTCTCGCATCGTCTATTGTGCTATCCAGTAAGATTGTTTTGATGAATGACACCTTTCACATTTGATCAGCGGATTGAAAGAGAAGGATTTTGCAAAACGAGTGATTGATTACCATTCAGAGTGTCGGTAACGCCTTAAATTCTGCGTTTGTAGGTCCAAGAGAGGGCGGCGTCTCTGGACTTCTGCCCGTGGTGCGCGTCCAAAGGCCTGCGCTCGTCCCTGCGCTTGTGCCGCCTCAACCTGCACGAGTCCGTCACGCTGTGCACCGAGCCTCAGGTCAGCCGCCACTTGGCCCGCCCGCGCTTTGTTCGCGAAACCAAAGACTGGACACCCTGTAAATAAGAAATAATTCCCAGAAATTGGGGAGGAACAAACTTTTTTGGGACAGTAAATTGTCATTTGTGTGTTCTATAAGCGAAGGAAACAGTCAACAGTGGAAAGAAGATTTTGGAGTCGGTGGCCCTAAATTGTTGCCCAGTCCGACCATTTGTGTCATCTTTCATTCTCAATGCTACATGCTAATCCTGCGCTAACCGTTTCCCCTTCTGCTCGCTAGTGTCTCTTCCCTCTGGTCAGCCGCCCCCTCGAGGACGTTTTGGCAAGTTTGGCCCCAGCGGAGACGACGACGGCGGCCGGCGGCAGGAAGAGAAAGGCGTCGTCCCGGACGGAAAACGAAGGCGACCGCCAGGAAGTCAAAGTCAAGTGTCTGCGCTCTGGCCAACTGCACACGCGAGCACCAAGTCCGGTTCCAAGTGGCCCTCACGAGACCGCCGTGACACACGTTGAGCCGTCCGACGGGGTCCCTCGTCTGCCCCAAGACCGCCTCTCCCATCAGAGGGCGGCAGCCACCGCCGTCGGACCTCCGCGGCGTCTGCCCGAGGAAAACTCTCGGACAGACGACGAGGGCGATGGCCCCGCAGAGCAACTCGCCGGGGGTCCTCGCAAACCCGTCGATGCTTCCGGCGGGTTTACAAGTGCTGCCGAGGGACCCGTCGCCTCCCCAGAGGAACCTGTTGACACGTCGCTCGGGACAGTTCCCGAGCAAACGGCGGAAATTCCCGACGAATCCGTCGTCCGGGAACCCTTCGGCGTTCCGGCGGCGCCTCTCTTCTGGAAAAACGCTCACAACCTTTGCTGGTTGGACGTCCTGCTGGTGGTCCTGGTCAACTGCGAGAGCCTGAGGAGACGCAAAGGCCGGCACGAGCCCCGGCCCGCCGCCGTCTGGCGCCTGATGAGCGGCTACGACCGCGCGCGCGACGCCCTCCAAGCGGGAAGCGGTGGGTGTCGGCCCCGAGGTGGCCCCTTGGCGGAGGAGCTTCTCTCGTTGTCGGCCTCTGCTCGCGCTTTCATCGAGAAAACGGCGATCCAAAATGCAAGTCACGCGAGAATGAAACCGTGAGCTGTCTCATGAGGTCTTGCTGTCTTTGGGCGCAGATGAGCAAGCGAGGGTTCGCCGCGACGCCGCCGAGCGGCTGCAGAATCTCAGGATGGCCGTCTTCGAGTTGCTTCGGCCGCAGCTGCGCTGCCAGCTCGGTGGGTGCTGCCTCGTTTGGAGATTTGCCAGACGGCAACCTCTCTCTCCTATGTTGTTGATCGCATGCGCGTGTCCTCGCACGTTGTTCTGCGCAGGCCAGAAAGAGAGTCCGGTCTTCGCCATGCCGCTCCTGCTGGCGGCCGACTCGTGGGCGGAGCCTCTCTTTCGGACCACGTTCTGCTGGGAGTTTGAGTGCGCCGAGTGCAAGACGGTCACCAGGGAGAGGTCCGTTCATGTTTCTTGGGGGGGGGGGCGAGGTCCCAATTGAATGTTTTAACAGCACTTGACTTGTTTTAGGGTCACCAAAACACTTCCCACATTCACTAACGTGGTGCCGGATTGGCACCCGATGCGTGCCGCCCACTGGGCGGTGTGCAACGCCTGCGGCGCCCGGCGCCAGCGCAGGAGCATGAAGCTGGAGAGGTAACCGTCCAAATCGAAATGGAGGAAAATGGAGTTTTGGCCATGTGGCAAATTGTGTCATGTGGCGCGGATGTGGCACTCCCTCCAGGGTGGCCGCGGTGTTGGCGCTGCACTTTGAGGAGGGCGTGCCGCACGGCGACCTGGACGCGCTCGCCTTCACCTTGGAGGGCCGCCGACACGCCGTCACGGCGCTCGTCCAGTACGACCGGCGTGCCGAGCACTTTGTGGCGTGGACGCGCACTCCCAGCGGTAAGCGGACAGACACTCCGATTTTGGATGCGGTGCCAATAGTTGGGTTCGATTTTTTTTTTTTTGAAGGGTGATTTGATCTTTTTCTCTGTCCCACCCCCCCGAGACGGCAGACACCTCATCGGAATGAACTCACGGTCGAGATGAAGATCGGATAGAGGAGCACTGTACCTCCACGTGCTGGTTTCTTGTGTTTTGTATCCGTATATGAAACAACTGAGACCCACAACAGCGGCCAGGGCCAGCATGATGGTGTAGAAGCCCAACCAGGCGAAGTAAATTCCAATTTTCTCGCCGTAGTACTTCCTGTGAAGTCCAAGAGAAAGCTAATAATCCGTTTTTATATCTATTTTTTAATATTTACATTTTTAGAATGTATTTTTTTCCCGCCGGTTATTCAGCTAAAAACTGATTTAGCATTACGAAACAAGAAAATCTGCGTCAGAGGGTACGGCTTTGAAAGGTGGGGTCTGGCCTGGTGAGTGACGTGGGAGCCAAAGTAAAACTAACAAAATAACTAAAAGTAAAATTGAAAAAAACTTTTTCGTTCATGAAAATGAAACAAGAACGAGAATGCTCGAACCCACTGCAACTACATTTTACATTTATAAAACTAAAGCTCACTTTAATTGCAACAAAAATGCCCTTTGTGTTGCATAACCACAACTATAGCATACACAGGTATCTTAAAAAATAAAATAAAACTAAAAGTAACACTCATTAAAGCTAAACTAAATGATGCAATTTCATCCATCTAATTTCTGAACCGCTTTATCCTCACAAGGGTCAAAGGGCATGCTGGAGTCTATCCCAGCTGTGTTCGGGCAGTAGGCGGCCACCCCCTCCCCTCCAGGCTCCTGGCTCGAATTTGACGACTTGAAGCACCCGCAGAGCCCGCTCCACCCCACGCTGCCCGTTCCCGCTCGGGAAATGCACCTTGTCTTTTGGGAAGCGCAAGAGGCTTCTCCCGGCTCTGGCGCCTGTTCCCCGTCCAGCACGCGACCAGATTCTCCGCCGTCCCGCTGCGTGGTCCCGGACCGGCACTTCCTCGCTCACGGCGAAGAGGAGGAGAGCGAAGTGGCAACGGCGGACGCTTGCGAGGACGTGTCCATCAGCTCCGTCACGCTACTGGACGCCTTCCACGGCCTGTCCCACGACGACATCGTCACGCTCACCCTGACGGAGGTGTGTTGTGGTCGACCGTCGTACTCCTACAAAACGTCAATTTTGTGGTCAGAATTCTCGTTGCAAAGAAGCCAGATAGGCCGTCCGTCCTGTTGCAAAAATAGTTTGTCAGTGCCGCGGCAAAGGACGCGCACAAAACCCGACCGAGCCCACGTGACATAAACGACACGGTTCACGAGGTGAATTATTCGACATGAACAAAGCACCTTGAGGCTCAACTCGGCTGTATTTATCGATTTGATGACCCCCCCGAACCGCACATTTGAAATTCACCACGTTTTGCATCGCAGGTCGCAGCCGATGCGCCGACGGATCACGCGGCGCTTCTGGACGACATCCCCGCGCCGGACAGCTCCTCCCTGACACCCGAAGACCCCGGCGAGACCCCCCCGCAGTCAGCAGAGTCCGACGCCGACAACGATCCCGATTATGACCCCGCTTCGGAAGAAGCTCCGACGAGGCGCAAAAGGATTTCCAAAGTCAAACATGAACGAGCCGGAAGGACGGCTAACGTGAAGCCGTCGCCGCAGGAGGTGGCCGCTCAAGCCTCCGGCCCGCCGCCTCTCGGTGTCCGGCGGGCGTCGCCTGTGTCCTCCACCGGGGGGCCGCCATCGCCGCCCGGGGACCACAACTCGCGCTGGTCCTTCCTGCTCAGCCATCATCTTGCCAATCAAAGGCCAAACGGCACCACGCCCACTCCTGCGCAGCGTCCTCCCAGTCACTCCACGCCCGCTTGCAAACCTCAGCTGCTGCCTATGGAGGACCGCCACGGTCACCCCCTGAAGGCCGCCGAGGCGTTTGGCGCGTTCGGCGCCGCCGTCCAATCCCCGCCGGCATTTTCCAAAAGCGGGAGTTGTCATCAAAGCCTCAGTCAAATCCAAGCGGGGTCTCCTCCGGCCCGCGGCCCGCCCGCCGTCCTGAGCGACACGGAGGCGCTGCGCTACAAGCTGCTGAAGAAGCTGAAGGCCAAGAAGAAGAAGCTGGCCAAACTCGACCGGCTGCTGGCGCGCCGGCCCGACAGCGCGGCGCCGATCTCGCCCGGCGGCTTCTTGCCGCAAGATCTGCTGCTCCCCTCGCCCTCCGCCGCCGTCTCGCCCGACAGCTCGGGCTTCCTGGACACGCTGGCCTGCCGCCAAGACGCGACCCCCGACGCCCCGCAGCCGCCGATGCATCCGGAAAATTTCCTGGACGAGTTTTTCTCCATGACGCCAGTAGCGGCTCAGCAAGCGATGGAGGACGAGACGCTCCGAGAACTGGAACTTTTACTTTCATAGCAACAGCACCGCCCCGGGTGGATTTTTTTTTTCGCCTCTCCCGGTGCGTGCATCTCACGTTGGACCGTGGTGCAAAACCGAGGTTCCGTTTTCCTCATTCGATCACGGAAATGCTGTCAGTCCACTACAGCACTGAAATTACTTTCGAAATGGATGTCTTGGAATCATCGCTGTTGGTCTACAGTACATCATTTGTGTAGGATTTTAGTTTTTTTTTTGGGGGGGGCGAACAAGAGCATTAAACTTAACTGCGAGAGCATTTATTTGTTAACTCTGGTTCGTTTTGGCGCGAAGATCAAATAAGTTCGAGTTAATTTATTTAGCAAAAGTAAAGCACTTGTTGGCCTGAGCGCTTGTGTCATGCATGTGGCGTTACGGATGTTTGAGATCGATGCAATTGGAAATACTGTACTGAATTTCTGTCAATAAAACGGCTTCATCCTGAAACGGGGGCGTGATGACGTTTCTGAATCGAGAGCACAAATGTTTACATTGCACTGGTTTTGAGGACTGGTTTTCATATCAGGCGATTTTAATTCAATACGACAGAGTAGTTGAACAACTCACCTCAATTCGAGTAGTGCGCCGTTGTCAAGACTTGTTACTTTGGAGGCAGCTGTTCCACCTGCGGTCGATAGGTGTCGTCGTTACTTCCAAAAAGGAGACGACCGTCGTGTGTCAGAATATCAGGACCCTACACCCTTCAAAAAAAAAAAAAAAAAAGAGAAGTGAGAGGAAAGTATGAGATGATGTTCACTTGCACAAAAATCTGCTGTCGAAAGGTCAAGTCGTCTGTG